GAGAAGCTGTGGATGCCTCATCCCTGGAAGTGTTCAAGGCCAGACCAGATGGGGCTCTCAGCAACCTGGTGTTGTGGAAGGTATCCCTGCCTATGGTGAGGGGATTGGACCTGGATGATCTTTAAGGATGATCTTCAAACCCAGCCCATTCTGCAATTCTAAGAACTCCTCTTTCTCAGTGATGGCTGAAGCAGATTGCACACCAGGCAACAGACATCCATCTCAGAGAGGCCAGTGGCGTTAAACCTCCCTGAAGCCATGGCAGCTGCCCCCTTGTTAGACAGACTGTGGGAGAGGTTTGGGCTAGACAGGAGGAAACCTCTTTTTCCAGGACGTAGCACAGAGCTGGGACAGGCATCTCTCAGGGAGGAGTCTGTCCATGGAGATTTCTAGATCAGCTAGGGAAGGTGATGGGTGACTTGCTTTACTGTTTCAAGCAGCATCGTGGAGTAGACACACACAGACACACAGACACACAGACACACAGACACACAGACACACAGACAGACACACAGACACAGACACACAGACACACACACAGACACACACACACACAGAGACACACAGACACAGACACACAGACACACAGACACACACACACAGACACACACACACAGACACTCTCTCTCTCTCTCTCTCCCTCCCTCTCTCTCTCTGCAACTAACCCATCTTTCCACAAGACACTAATTCTGCAGAATCACAGGGTTTAGGGAATATCTTTAGGAAATTCCACTTCAGTCCAAGTAAGGTTTTCTTGAAGCAACTGCAGAAACAAACTAAAGTTTGAGGCTCATAACCCCAAATCACCAGGTCAGCTCACAGAAGCAGACAACCTTAGATGGCTGTTCAGCCAGCAGATCTGACAAGACAAGCAGGTACCATGAAGTGGCAGATGGGTCTTGATCTAGAGACACCTCACAGCCCTTTCTCAAGCAAGAAGAAATGGGGGTCAACATGGGAGATCATCTCTGCAGTGTCCCTTGGCTCCACATCCTCACTCAAACTTTGGTCACCCCTGCAGCATCAGAATTTCCTAACAAAAGAATTGGTTTGTAATTTTCAAAGCAGATGGCATTTCCCTTGGAACAGGAGCTGATTTTTTTACATGGAAGATCAGACAATCAAAACTGTGGCTGGAGAGCCCTTACAGAGCACAAGAGCCATACTCAGGGCTCGTCCATGTGCAAAGGTTGGACCATTTCTCTGCTGAACAGACCAATCAAAGTGATGCTGAAAGGCTCTGTGAGCAGTCAAATACAAACTCTGAAAGGGCGTGAAACCAGTACCTATGTGTGGGAAGAGAGAAGCTATCATCTTAATTCACCTCTTAATCTTCTATAATATTTTGTTCCCTTTCTGTCTTCGCCCCCTCTATCATTTCAGCAGTCTTTAACATCATTTACACTCTGAATACTATTTGTCTGTCCTCATCTCTTACAAGGTGCAATTCCTGCTGAACTCTTCATACTAAAAAAATACTCTTGAGCCTAATGCTGAAAGTTACAGAACATTTTTCCAATGCTGCAAAGCCTCAGCTTTGATTTACTTCAAGGTAAGTGGTTGACACACTGCACATCGTAGGATGGTCTCCTAGTGGGTCTAAGCAAAGAAGAGCTCAGGTAATTATTAAAATCTTAATTTTAGCTGTCAGTAATAATTTCACTTCTGCCTGTCAAAGAGGGTTGGACCCCACGCTGGAGCAGGGGAAGAGTGAGGAGTCCTCCCCCTGAGGAACAAGGAGTGGCAGAGACAAAGTGTGATGAACTAACTGCAGCCCCCATTCCCCATCTCCCTGCAGCATAGGGGGAGGATGGGAGGGAGTGAGGGACTAAAGTTGAGCCCAGAAAAAAGTGGGGGGGCAGAGGGGAAGGTTTTTTACTACCTACTTTCATTTCTTGTTACTCTACTCTGATTTGATTGATAGTAAATTAAAGTAATTTCCCCAAGTGGAGTCTCTTTTGCCCATGACAGTCATTAGCAAGTGATCTCTCCCTGCCCTTGACTCCTGAGACTTTTGTTTTCTTTTTGCCCTCCTGCCCAGCTGAGGAGGGTAGTGATGGAGCAGCTTTGGTGGGTGCCTGGCATCCAGCTGGGATCAGCCTGCCACATGCACTTTACACTTGGTCCTTCAAGCCTTTGCCTGTCCTTCCCATGTGCCTTCTCTTTGTGCTCTTCTCCTTTCGACATCTGTTTGCTGGCCACTGAAGAACAAGCAGAGATCAATGTTTTTGATATTCAGGAGCAGTCCAGCAGCCACTGCCTCCTGGGGATCCAGACCCTTCCACAGCAGTACCAAGGCAGTGTGAGAAGCACAGCTGAGATTCAATACTGGACACCCTCAGGAACACCAGTTACTGGGTGCTTGTGCCAGCAGCAACAAAGATGTCCCATTGCCTTCTGGAAGAGAATGGCAGCAATTTGATAGCTGCCCCAAGTACAGAGATCAAGAAAGGCATTTTTAAATAGTCTCATCTGTTTTAAAAAATATAGATATGTCCTGACCTTTTTCAAACTAATTTATTTCATTTTGATCAGACCTTCAACTTTGTTTTAAAGATAATGCCCTGACTTGGTCAAGCAGATAGTCTTGGCAATTACTTATTGCTTCAAAAACCCTGTTTCTGCAATAACATATTTTTATTACTTTAAAATCTGAATTACATTTCAACCTCACAGGTAGTTGTCTCTGCTAGTGTAGTTAGATGGGTTTGTGTCTTTTTTCAGCTGAGATAATTTCACTAATACCTGTGGTCCAACATTTCAGCACAGCCCAGAGGGGGTTGCATCAGTGGGGAAATACCTGTGCTGAGGGGGCAGTGGGCCAGGCAAGTGGTGACAGCTCTGCACACCAGCTTGGCCAGTGCCAAAACGTTTACGCAACCACACAGTGATTTCAGTAAGAGGATAGACTGATAAATATGTTCTCTATGCTCCATCCTTGCACTGAAGTAAATATCAATATAAATATATGTACTACTTAGAGCTACATGACTGTGTTGTTTGATAAAATAGCAGACATTGTTTTTACTTCTATTAAAATATTGAATTCAAGCAGCAGAAGCACCAATTATGAGGGGACTGTTTCTTCCTAACATTCCCTGTCTCAGTCAGCCTCCTTGCACTGCTCCCTTAAAACTCTGCATGGAGCAGTTTTCAGTTTCACAGAAATATATCAATCTAGAATTCTACAGTGTGTAACCTAGTGTCTTATCATTATTTACATTTTTATAGCACACATATACAGATAATATGCATTGAGGTATTCAGGGCAAATAATATGCTTTAAAATCATAGTAAAAAACTTGCCACAAAATAGTCTGCAATACCACCTAGGCATTCAAAGCTTAATTATATTCTTAGTCAGTTTTGATTTACATTTAAATTACAAATTATGTTTTGCTAACATTAATTTACAATGCTACTTAAAAAATACATATTCTATGGTACATGAATAATAATTCAAAGCAGTCAGGTCTTGTTGGATTGCTATGATCTGATAGCAGGGGGTGAATAATAATAATATTTCTAGAAAGTTTTCTCCATATGAATATAACATTTCTCAATGTATATGCCTTGCGCATTTGAATTCAGCCAACTATCCATGGTGCAAACAGGAATTATAGGATGACCTCCCTGCACGTGGATTTTTTAGAAGACTTTGGCATAGCCAAGAGGAAACATGCTCTAAACCAATATGCACTTGTTACTGGGCCAGAACAAGGAGCATTTTATCAATCCCTTCACTCTGTGACCCTGTTACATGTCAGAGGAGAAGAGCAGAGTGGGATGCAGGGAACATCAGTGTATGGCTGGGAGATTTTCAAGGAACCCTCAGAGTGAGAAGGAGAGTCCATCTGGGCCCCACAGCAGGAGGATCTCTTTTTTTTTTTTTTTTTTTTTTTCCCCAGAGGGAACCTTTTGCTGCCCTGGAGATGTGTTTGCCCTTTGTCTCAAGTGTTTGCACTGTTTGCACTCTTCCACAAATGGCTCATGGTCTGCAGTTGACTTCAGGCATGTGTTTATGGTGCTCATGAAGCACATTTTGCTCTGATGGATAATAATGTCCATAAATCTCAGAGAAAATTAATTTTTAAATAGCCTTTAATTAATCCCATTCCAGTGCAATGACAAATATCTTCCTTTGAGTAAAACCCTGAAACTTAATGTTTGCTTCTTATTGAGAATTCCTTTGGTGTAATTATTTGCTGCTATTGCTGTGCTACCCCCAGAAAAGGCCAACTCTGGATTTATATTGCATGTAGCCAGGGCTGATCTCATTATTTCACCTGCAGACCATGTCCTGTAGCTCACAACAATAAGCATGGCTTAACTTGGAATGAGAGCTAGGCAGGGTTGTACAGCAGTAAATTCCATTTTAAACTGAAGTTTAAAAAAACCTTCAGTCTTGAGATTCAGAAATATCAAAGACACATTCTCAGTTTAAAAATCTATGCTCTTCTGTAAGGGAAAATGGAAAGGTGTTGTGAACACAAAACACAAAATAAAGCAGAAACAGAGTCACTCTCAGTCCCAAACAGTGACGACTAATGACTAATAGCCATGACTGTTCATAACGCTGAATTTATCTTTAATTTCCCCTTGAATACTTCTTTAGGGGCATGAGTAATATTATTTGACACTTATTTTCCAAGGAAGCTTCTTGTTGGGGTTGGACAAGAAGTTGCCCTGAAATGCTGTAACAAATTACCTGGATTGTGTCACACACAGGTGATTGCATTTCAGCTCCCTGAGAGAATTTGCTGTAGAAAGGACTCGTTCACAAGGGCTACATAAAAAACTTTGAGGAAAATGGTCGAAACAGAGGGCATAGCTACTGTAAAAGTCCTCTTCCATCACAATGTAACAGACAAAGGTTAGCGGTTTTACAGAGATACACTATCTTCAACAACACATCTGGGGGGAATTTTGCCGAAAAAATGACTCCAAAATAAAGTGAATGTGGCTGAAATGATGGGAAATGAGACATATTTACAATTTACCTTCATTCTCAAAGATTTTATTTCTTGTTACTCTTCAGGACAAGGATCTGTCAGGGAGGACACTCTGGCACAGTGAAGTCCATGTCCTTTGTGGGGCAGGAAGCAGCTCTGGGAGGGGACCACACACACCATTTCAGTCTCACTATTGCACAGTGGGTAAATCCTTTCCAATAAAAATGGTGTTGAGCAGCAAAAGGGTATGATTCTGGGGGCAAAAAAAAAAAGCATAACTTTGCATATACAAGGAACTGATAAAAAAATTTACTAAGTTGAAATTTGTTAAATCAAGAATCTATATAAATCTGCATTTTTCTATTAAGAAATTATAAATTCTCTTTGCAAAATACATGATATTAGTCAATATATGGAAGGATATGAATGAAATCCTCATGAGCACAATAAACTTTGTGGTTGTAGTTCTCAAAATATAATTACTTTTTAAAGCCATTTTCACCTTCTTAAAGCCCTGTTACTAATGGGCTAGTGTAGATAAATGATCAGCATCCCATGGTCCATTATAGATGACAAACTTCTTTTGGTCCCATTGTGGTAGCTAATAATCCCTTATCTTTGGTCTTGCTGCTCAGGCCTGTGGGGTGGGAGAGGAGCTGAGGTTACTTGTGCTGTGGTGCTAATAGTGGTAGAGTGAAACATGATATTAATGTGAAATGGGGCAGCTCTGGATTAGTGTTGGCATGGTCACTGCTGATGGATGCCGGTACTTCCTTGTCTGGGAATGGGCAGAGCACAGCTCCCACAGTCCCTTCCTGCATCCCTGAGGAGCACAGGGCAGCTCAGGGTCTGCTCCACTTGGGAGCCTCCAGGCTGTCCTGCAGCCTGTCCCATGCTGGCAGGGAGCAGCCCTGGCTCTGTCCCTCACACCAGCCTGATGTGAGCCCAGCACCATGGCCAGCCAGGCAGTGCCAACACAGAGCTGCCCTCCTTCCCCACTCCTGTCCATGTCTGTGCCTGTGCAAACTGCAAGAGCCTTCCCCTTGTGTGAGTGCCATGAGGACACGGTTACACCTGAAGCTGTCACAAGGGCCTTATAGACATTAGTAAGAAGATCCATAAATGTGAGTCTCCATACTCTGCAGTTCAGGTATGTCTTACAGCTCTGGACCTGGCAAAGTCTCTTCTTTAGTGTCAACCCAGCCAGGAACAAAGACAAGGCAGGATCTCTTCAGGTTTGGACAGGTTGGGGGAAAACTAGAGCATCCTCCTGAAGAGAGATGGTTCCACCACGTACCCAAACATCACCTGTGTATGTGCTGTCCACCAAGCAAGACTCCTGCACTTTATGAGCTATGCCATTGTATTCACCTTTAATGATTTCCACCGTGTGAAGTTGCCCTCTTTGGCTAGAGGGGAAAACTCTAGGTTGAATATTCAATTGTGTGTTTTCCCAGCCTGGGACTGTAGGGAAGAGGAGAGAGACCATCCCACCAACTATCTCCCTGCTGGTATCTTCCTGTGGGCCTCTCCTGGTGCTGTGGGAGACCAAGAAGCAGTTCCTGGAGCCTTGATCAGCCTAGGTGCTAAGATGCACTGCAGTGGTGACTTCAGTGAGGGATGCACATTCACTCTGAAATGCCCTTTTTATTCCTCCCGCCAGCTGTGCTTTTATTTACTGTTTGATGTGTAGACACCTTTGCTGCTCCCTGCACTGTCACTGGATGCTGTGCCTCCAGAGCTGTGCTGTTTCCAGGCCGTGTGCTCACGGCTGCGGCTTTTAAGAACAAAAGAGAATTTGTAGTGGGGAAATGCATCAGTTTGGTAGCGCCTCCTTGGCTCACCTCCTGGCTAGCCCATGGCACGGCCGCTGTCCTGCAGTCCCTTTGTCCCTGTCCCACCCCCTCGGCGGTGCCTTTTCCCGGAGCAGCTCCTGTCTCCCGAGCAACCAGCCCCTCCTGCGGGAGCGCGGTGCCGCCCGCGCAGCATCCCGCCCATCGCCATGGAAACCTGCCTCCCTCTGCCGAGCCATCCCGGCTGCCCTGCCCTCGGCTTTATCACTCTGCACCGCTTATTCCCAGCGTGGATGCCTGTTTCTAGCAACAGAAACGCCCTGTAGGTTGTATCTCACACCAGGAGTAAGTTACTTCTCTCCCATCAGTGTGCGAGTGTGGGGGGGTTAGGTTTGGTTTTGGTTTTGTCAATTCTAGCAACAAAAGTAAGTTTTTATCTTGTCATCACTTGCCTGAAAAACATTTGTTTCACTTTAGGTTTTAACAGCTTAATGCCTCAGGTAGAGACAAGGAGCAGAGGTGACAGCTGGAGGTTGTATTGCTTTTTCTTTCTACCTCTCTAAATTAGCTCTTGGAACAGGTTATTACTTTAAAAAAACACTTAAAGTTTCCAGAAGTCTGAGAATGACCCCATTAACCACTCCAGAGTGCACTTCCCACCAGCATTGTGAGCAACACAGGTTTAGTTTTTCTGCTGAAGACCTGGAGATCCGGCATGTGCCAGGACCCTTCCCTTATGTCCAAACCCTGGGAAGACATCAGATTTGGTCCAGACCCTCCTTACATGGAAGGCAAGAGAGGATGTAAGCAGGTGAAAGCTTCCAGGACACTCACCTGGTTCCAAATTTTGGATGGTGAAAATGGAATCCCCTCTTTACCCTTGAAGGGCACCTACTTGGTATACAGCAGCTTATGTGCAAAATGCAGTGGCTGGAATTGCATGTCAAACATTGAAGTTGAGTTCATGTAACTTTGTCCCAGCTCTGCCTTCTTTTTTTCTTTCTGCTATATTACTGGACAGACAGATGGGAAAATATAAGGAAACAAGGAGGTAGTATTGCTTACAGTAGTGCTTACTTTTTAGTATGCACTGCTTTCTCCCTAGGAAAGTATCTTTGCACCCTGATCACATCACCTCTCAATCTTCCTTTTTGTCATAAACTAAACAGACTGAAGTGTTCATGAGTGAGGACTTTTTTCCAAGCTTTCAAATAATTTCACTGGCTCTTCACCTCTTCTGAATATTCAGGATCAATTTCATCCTTTCAGCCTGAGGGTCTCTGGATTTAGATTTTCTTTCACATTCTGTCCCAGTTTGCTAATTCTCAGTCCAAAGGTTCCCACTTTTTCCATGTCATCTCTGCAATGAAGAGCTTCTTGTGACAATGGGTGAAAATGCAGGGCATTGCTGTCCTCTGGAGTGACTGTGCTGATCTTTGCTCTTCCCCCAGGGTGAATCAGTCCCCCAGGAACTGTATTTGCTGAGTGCTCTCCATTGTGATTTGTGCTCACTTACTGCATCTCTGCAGCCTCTGCTCCTCCAGGGAGGGATGCAAATCCTTGGCAGGAGGTTTCAGAAATCCTGTTCTGCCACTGCTGTGTTGAACAGTGTCCCACCCCATATGGAACAAAACTTTCTCATTTAAATACTGACGCACGGGAGTTTGTTAGCCATTTTCTGCAGGCATTTTTCTATCACACTGAAATGGTCACAGGACAAAATGGCAGGGATTCCAGCCAAACCCATGTCTGCCTTTAATTCCAACAGGTAGCCAGAGAAATGCTTAGCAGTATTCAACCAGCTCTATTTTTAATATTGTGTTTACATGTGTAATGACCATGTACACATAATAGCTGCCCCCCTCCCTGCTCCACCCAGCACCTTCCAGTAATGCTTACCATAGTTTGGAGCAGACATGCCTTATGGCCATTCCCAAGCTGGCAATGGCATAATCCAGGGAAAGCACCTCAGCCATTACACATGCAAATGCACTAACTATCAGGAACATTATTTTAATAGATTTTTCACAGATAGCTTCTCCTGTTTGTCCCACTCACCATCCCAGAGACCCATTCAGACTGGGATGCAGGGAAGGGGAGACACCAAGAGGGAGGCAGGGATCCAGCAGTTGGATGTTTTACTGCTGCCAGTGCTCCACAGGACCATCACAGCTTGGAGCTGCACAGGAAAGAAGAAAAAGGCAGTTACCTGGCCAGTTCTGGCAGGTGGCTTTTCTGTGAGATAAAGCACCTGGAATGACAGCTGGGCTGGCCCAAAGCTGAGCACAAGGGTCCCAAATGCTTCAGTTCACCCTTGGTCAAAACCTGCCTTGACTTCTGGCTGCCCAGAGCAGCAGTGGCCAGCTTGTACAGCCAGCCTCCCCTCCCAGCTATTTCCAGGTCTGCAGCAATCTTGTTGATGCAGCTTTCATCATGAACACAATATGAGCTCCCTTAGCAGCAGCAGAAAATTATATGTGAGTGCTGGTCAAAGCTGTGAGGACACGTGCAGTACAGAGCTTCCATGCAAAAGCACTGGAGCATGATGAAAAGGAGGATTTAGCATCACAGAGGATATCTGTAGCAACAACATTTTCCTACCTGTACCTGCAAACTTTGCTGGGAAAATTATTCATTAAGCTATGGTCAGTGCAGGAAATCAGTTTTGGACATATTAATAGAACCAATCAATTATTGTGCTTGCTTCTTCATGAGTTCTCTTCAGATTCAGGAATGGCAGCAAGTGCAAAGTGTAGGGTCCCATCCCCCTGAAAAAGATCAGGATATATTATATTATATTATATTATATTATATTATATTATATTATATTATATTATATTATATTATATTATATTATATTATATATTTTATATTTGGTTTGCTAACAGAGCCAGAGAAGCTGAGGGTGCAACGTGCCACTGAGTTGGGCTGGAGGGGTGAGGAAGGCAATGGAGTCACACGCCTTGCAGTTTGGGCACATGGCTTTTCTGACCCAAGTGTGACATGTACCAATCCTGCATGGCACTTGCACATCACAAACACCCCAATTAAATTAGAAACTCATCCATTTTCCCTCCAAAAGAGGCACATCCTTTGCTGTAACCCATGCAGCATGCTGCTACCCATGTAGCCATAAACACACAGCATCCCAATGCTGCACTGTTCTACAGTAGAGTAAGCTATGAGGAATAAAACCAGTTTTAAACTCTCAATGCATCGTCCCTGTCCTTATGTATTATTAAACTGTGCTCTAATTCCCAGTGCAGCAGGATGAAAATGAGTAAGAGCTGGTGACAACCTACAGCCAACTTTTGTGTTTGTTTCACCCAGAAGAAGAGAAATGTCTTGGCCATTTTCCTGAATTAAAAATTGGGTTGCTTGCAGAGCTGGGATAATACAATTGAAGGATGAAGCAGTGGAGTAGAAAACACCAAACTGTTAGCCCCATAGCCATAGGAGAGCTTCTCCACTATCATGTTGTGCAGTGCCTGGCTGTGAGGATCCCTGGCCTGTGGGCACAACAGCAATGCAGATCTGCCTCAGCATCACAGTGACGGGAAATGGCATGGGAGGAAGGAGAACAAGCAAACAGCTAAAGGGACCACACTCCTTGTGTTTGCCATGACCAAGGGCTGCTGTCTTCCACCTGTTGGCCATACATTTACAATGGGATTGCTCTAGGATGTGTTTCCTAAGGGAATGAATTCCAATTTCCATAACAAATTCAGCCCTTGAGAAGCATGATCTACAGCACTCTGTGATTAATAGCTGTCTCACTGACCAGTTATGCTATTCACAGCCCTATTTTATCACTTGAGGGCTCATAGAAATGGCAATCCTATTTTTATCTGTTCTGCATTGCCCATTAAAAACTCTGTTTACCCCATACTCCTCTTTCCAAGTATTTCTTTACAGAAGGTGACATTGTGTGAATGGGATCACTCATGTAACCATTGTTACTGGAGAGGGACTGAAGGCTTTGCAGTCTTTCTGGAAACAAATGGAAAGATGGCATGACACCTACCTACTACCAAACCACTTCTCCTGAGCACCTTCCAAGGAGCTGCCTCATCACAGTAAGACTAGAACTGTGAATGCCAAGAGACATTGCTGACTCCATGATTTTCTAGACATTTTTGCAGTTAGCTTTTGTTGTCGTGTCACTAAAGGTATCCAAGAACATTTTGATGTGGCCTAACCTGTTATTATCCTCCCAGGGCAGGGTACAGGAAATGAAGATGGCAATCACCCCCTATTTAATTATGCTGTCCATTAGTTAATCCTTTTCTTCTCATGCCCAGAAAGGCTTTGCCCAAGATGAGTTCCTGTTCTACATCTCCATGGAAGTGTGAAAGGGGCCAACAGCTTGAGCAGCTCCAGCCATCTGCAGGTGGACCCCACCAAAAAACCTCCAGCTGCACTCCCTGGTCCTCAGCAAGGTAAAACTCCTTCCTTCCTGTACCAGCTCATACCTCACCTCTGCAAAAGGTGCAGTGAGACCTTGGGGGTTCGAGCAGAGCACACGTGGGGTACAGTGAGAAAGCCCAGGGGTTCCCACTCTTTGAGGAGATCACCAACAGTCTGCTCACCCAAGAGGGTTTGTGCTGGTTTGTGCACCAGCAGAAGATGCTGCAGTGTTTCACACTGGGGAAAAAAACCTATCCTTTTATTTCTGAATTGAGGAATAGCCTTTGGAAAAAGCAGCAACTGGAAGCATGCTCATTCCTCCCCTTACAACTCTGAAATAATAGCAAGGCTGCATTTTTGTGAGTGAACAAGACGTGCCTCATTGCAAGGGGCATGGAAGAGGAGAATGAGTCGGGGCACCTGGACCAGATCCTTTGATGTTCTGCACTATGTGGGTCTGGGAGAACTCAGCAGCTTTCCAGATTTCCCTGACTCCAGTGCTACCACAGCTTGCCCAGCTCTCTGAGGGGAAGCTGGGGAAAGCATAAGATGCTTTTTAGGTGGAGGAAGTCCAGTAACCTGCAAAATTATGAATAGCTTTGTGCTACCCAAGGCTCAAAACCAATAGAGAGGGGAGAAAGAAACCCAGCTCTAAATCTTTTCCCTATTAAAAGAAAAGTTCTTCAGGTTCCTCTTCACATATTCATGTAAGGCAAGATGCACATGTCCTGATTTCAGCCATCAAAATTGTGGGTACCTCATCTAAATATTTTCAGAGAGGGAAGAACAGGATGATGACTATAGTTATGATTTAAGAAGATAAATTAACATGTGGGCACTGTGGACTGTGAAGGCTTTGGGTCTGTTGCCACAGCCCATGGGAGCAGGGAGATTAATGTGCATCTGGGAAAACAGTGTCATTTCAAACCAATGTACTGTTTGTCAAAATGAGTACTGCCAAAGCAGTGTTGCCATAAATATTTAAGAATTTCTTTTTGCCTTTTGCACTGAAAATTTTGAAAGAAAATCCTGACTTTGCTCTATGAGAGAAGCTCTTAGAGAAACAGATTTGCTGTCTCTTTTGTGGCCTTCACCATGCAAACTCTCTAAGTGAAAAGACCATTATGAAGAAAGGCAGCAGGATTGTGCTTTTCTTTTAGACAGAGAAAAGGCATCCTCTGCATTGTAAGGGAAATATCATTTGCAGCCCAATATAAGTATTTCTTTGTAAACCTTCAGAGCAAAAAACTATTAAATTCAAACCTTTATCCATCAGTATAAAGTCCCACTTCCTTAGCTAATAAAACCTCTAAGAGCATCCTGTTAACCATTGTAACATCACTTGATGAAAAGCTGCTTCTTATTCCCTCCTTGTGTTTTCCCTTGTGTTAGATTAAGAATTTTGCAACAATTTACAATATAATTAAAATTTAGAGTCCTCTGGATGGGATGGAATAATTATAATTACTCATTGTGAAAACGGGTGTGGAAAAAGCCTTCTGACCTGTTCTTAATAACGCAGCTCGCGCTTCATTACAGTACATGCAATACTTAATTTGTGAAACCAGTGTCATTGTATTTGGAATCTGTGCTGTCCATGATGGTGTGAGGAAAACAAGCAGCCTGTTAGCATGGTGACCACCATTTCAGTGTGCACAGCCTCCTGGCGACGCTGAAATCACCAGCAAAGTAAAATAAATTGCTTTTGCTTAGCAGGAACAACACTCTGATCTCACCCTCCAAACAGAGAATTTCCTGCTCCTGCTGCTCTGACTCAGCAGCTTGCTCTGAGCAACAGGAAGAAAACAAAGAGGAAGAGGTCAGAGAGGAAGGCAGAGGTGGGAGCCCAGCACTCACTCATCCTCTCCTGCTGGTGCTCCTGCCGCAGCCTCACATGTCCCGCAGCTCTGGTGCTTTGGGGCTGGACCTGCTCCTGGTGCCAGGATCCATCCATAACCCTGGCGTGGTTTTCCATACAGCCACAGCACTCCCTGCCTCCAGCGTCTCCCCGGGTCCGCCTGCAGAGTCAGTACTGGAAGGGTCCATACAACACACCAGTTTTTTAGAGGTGGGTGGAAATATCCTGCATCATTTTACATACTGGTGTGCACCATCCACAGCCATGGAAGTACAAGGAGATCAGGTGACTCCTGTGAGCCCGTCTCCTTCCCACTGACACACTGAACCTCCTCATCAAGGCAGATAAAAGGATGGCACTAGAGGCATGCAGGGGAAGAGTAATGCCAAGCTGTGGCAATTCCCTTCCCTTTGCATCCACATTAGCCATGCAAGCCCAGCCTGCACATAGTAAGGCAATGAATCACCCTGCTACTCTGGATGTGGCTCTTATTGCTTTTATGCTGATGCCATGGGTGTCAGTGAGGCTCCTCCTGATTTACTACAGCAGTCTGAGATGAACAGGAGCGTGTGAGGCTCATGCATCAGAGCAGTGTGATTGCAGCACAGCCTCCTGAAAAGCAAGATACAGAGACAAAGATGTGACTTGGGAGCAGCACAGCAGAGCTCTCAAAGTCTCAGTCAACACTGGAATGAAGCTGGACCAGAACAAACAAGTTTGAGCAGAGATCACGTGCAACTATATTTCTTACTTAAATGCCAGTTAAATATTACCTTTTCAATTTGTATTTACCTGGGGAATCAAATGTATGTGCTGCTGGTAGTATTCAAAGGCTGCCTGCAAGCTGGTCTGAGCTTATGATGACAGACTTCCCAGAGGAATGCTGGCCCTCAGTACCAGCAGCACATTGGTAGGTCCCACACCAAAAACTTCCCACCTGAGCATTTAACATGGACAGTTATTTACTGAGTGACTCATGAAAAACAAATAAGAAGGAAAGGGAATTAAGAGTTCTCAGTTTTCTGCAGTTGAGTTATTAGCCCCAGGGTGAGAAACCCAGGCACCATTCCTGGCACTCTGCAGTGAGAGCAGGGCTGCCCCTGTAGACAGGCAGCATAAGGCTGGTTTGCCCCTCAGCTCCTCTGCTAAGTGAAACACCCAAATGAATATCCTCAAATAGCAGCCCCAGCTTTTGGCCCAAGGCTCTAGAAATGCTGTCTCAGTGCTGGTACATTAACCAGGGCTGGGGCCCCACTCAGACACTGGCAGGGAGGTGTCCACACTGGCATGCTCAGGGCCAGGAGCCCCAGTCTTTGGAGGCAGCCTGGAAGGAACCACCTTGTCCTTGAGATGTGAACTCTGTCCCCAGGCCAGAGCCCCCCGTGGTGCAGGGTGGGGATGGGGATGAAGGCTTTGCAGAGCTGGGATAGGACACAGTAACACACCCACCCCTGAATTCAAACTGGAAACCATCTCCCCTCTGCTGGGAAGGCAAAATACCCC